TCTTGACATTTTTCCCACTACTAACCCATTCCCCCAACGTGCTCACACCCAGTCATATCTTCCACCTTGAATCTCTCTAGACACTCTCTAAATAGTTTTTGAATAGTATTTCTCGAAAGAATCGAACAAAACAAACACAAAATGGGGAAAAACGAACAAAAATAGAATACTTCCATCTCCCTGACGGTTGGGTGTAACTGAAAATATCTGTTGTTGACATAAAGTGGCAATTTTAATGTTAAGATAACTACCACTGGCACTACGATGCTACCAATACAACGTTGACGACGACAACGACGATTCTGAAGATGGTAGAAATACTAGAAAAATATAATCGTCAATTCTCCATTAACGTTCCAAATCACGTACGCTGTCTGTGATTTAGGATATGAGGTATTTTGTTGCTGTCGTTGTTGTTGGATGGTGAAGGTGGGGGCGTAGAGGAATGTAATTGGATTTCGAGAATGAAAGTGGTGTGAAAGTTCAAAACCATTGTGATTAGTTTCACAAGAAATGAACATTTTTGTATGTATGAGAGTCGTTTAAGGTGTATGAAATGAGCCTAAAACCTGTGAAAGGAAATTAACACACTCATCCAACAATTCTTCTCACACACACAAAAACGGAAAAGTCCAAACAATGGCACGCGTGCAAATCACAATGGAATTTTTGTATTATATATTAAGTGGTCTTTCGTAAGTTTTTTTTTGTGTTATGGGTTTCAGTTTTTCACAAAAGTTGATAAAGAAGTTTACAACACTATGGGAATAAAGAGCAACATTTTAATATTGGTACAGAATAAATGTCAATACAGTGAGATGAACTTTTGAGAAATATTTAAAAATATTGTAATCCAAAAATACATTTGACTACTTATAAGCCACAATTACAAAATTTCTATGTTATTGTGTCTATACTACAAAAAATCCACTTTTTCGATAATTACAGATAGAAACCTAGTAGATTATGAAAGTAGCTAGCAATTGAAAATAATTGATTGGGATTTTAAGGTTAATGCAAATCAGCCAAAGGAGATGGAGGACATGTTCCCAATCCTTTTCCACAATTTCGGAAAATTTCTGACTGAGATTTCTTGGAATCCGTACATTATGTACATTACGTACATTATTATACATATACGATTCTTCTACAATTTTACTGATAACAAAAAGAGGATTATTTTGGTAAAAAAAATGGACCCTATTTTACATTTTATGTACCAATATATGATGTCTTCCACAATGTTACTGATAACAAAAAGAGTATTATTTTGGTTAAGAAGTGGTCCCTTTGGACCCATTTTCAATACCTATTAAAGTTTGCCTTTAAACGGTATCGTAGCAAGTCAAAATATTCTACGCCACATTAAAAAATAAATTAAAATAAAAAAAATATTAATAAATATTTAAAAAAACATTGTCCATATTTATTGGCTAAAGAAAAAAGTATGTTTCAATAATAAGAAGTAAAAAAGCAGCTAAGTTAGGCCGGGCCGAACATTTTATACCATCCACTATTTGGAAGAAACCCAAAAAATGTCGAAAAAAATCCGTCAAAAAAATACCGCACAATTTAAACCCGTTATATGGGGGCTATACGAAGACGTGGTCCTGCATAAGTATTTTGTGTCATAGACTGCAGGGTTCCTAACTTTATATACGACATTCCAAACAATTCCGGCGTATAATGTCGCAAAAATCATGAAAATACCGAATACTAAAACGTGGATCTATGTCGACAATTCTCTTCTAGGGGCTAAAGTTCTCAGATAGAACCCATAGCCTGGATTTTTAGACAATTCCATTTAAAAATGTGACTAAAATCATAAAAACCCGAATATCGTGGGTACCGCTGTACGATATTGTTGACCTATATAGACAATTCTCTTCCAGGGGATACATTTCTCACAAGGAACTCTTTGTGTGGATTTTTAGACAATTCCATTGGAAAATATGGCTAAAATCATCAAAATACCGATTATTGGGGGGTACCGTTATATGAGGGATATTCGATATGGTGGACCTATATATATATATATATATATATATATATATATATATATATATATATATATATATATATATATATATATATATATATATAATTCAATTCCAGGTGATAGAGTTCTCACAAGGAACTCCTTGTGTGGATTTTTAGACATTGCCATTGAAAAATGTGGCTAAAATCATCAAAATACCGAATATAAGCGGTTACCGTTATATGGGGGCTATACGATATCGTGGACCAATATAGCCCATCTTCCAAATTGACCTGCCTGCAGACAAAAGTCATATCTGCATCATACTATTTATGGTGGAGGGTATAAAAAATATAGTCAATGTTGCAAAAAAAAAAAAAAAAAAAAAAATGCGGGAAGTTTCCCAACTTTTATGCCCTCAACCATAGTATGAAGGCTATGTTAATTTTGTCATTCCAATTGTGACGCCCATGCCCGTCTTTCTGTCTGTCCATCAATCCACATGCCTCTCCGTGGAAATCACACAAGCTTTCGAACGAAATGAAGAAGCTTGATAAAGCTTTACTTATATTAATTTTTGGTCCATAGAAAATTTTGTATTGGAAATGGGCTATATCCAGAAGATTTGAGTATTTATAGGCGTTTTAGTCACAATTTTAAATCAAATTTTCTGAAAATTGACAGTTTGCGTACACAGGATGTAGGAAACATCCTTATAGAGAACTCTCAATGAAAGCGAAATTTCTGGTAATGATAACTACCAGAAAAGTTTAATTTTTTTTTTTCTACTGCGATTATTTCAAGGTTTTTGCCACATTTTAAACCGGTAGCGCTTCACATTTGGTATTTAGACTTCGCGATGGTACTACTCTTTATGACAGAAAATTTACTGTACTTCCCGATATTCGATATTTTTGCGATTCTATCTACAGCGGAGTTTTTTTTTCAAATTTCTTGCTTGGAGATCGTAATGGAGAAGGAAGCACTTCTATGACTGAAAATTGCTTGTAGAGATTCACTTCTTCGCATATCCCCCACATGCCTTACAAATTATCTGGTATCATTACCAATAAAGATCAACATCCGAATTGTGAAGATTCGAGCTCTAAAATCATATAATATAGTCCTTTGTCAATACCTGTTTTTGTTCAAATTTCCAAGTCACCACCTCATCTGATGTCATATAGAAACCTTTAAAATTCTAGCTCTAAAATATATAAATTATTCAGAAAAATGAGATATTAGTTATTTTAGTACCGTTTTTATACCCTACACCACATAGTGGTAAGGATATTATGTCTTTGTGCATTTGTTTGTAACATGGAGAAGGAAACGAGATAGACCCATAGTTACTTTTGAGAACCTTCATAGAATCACTTTCTGAGTCGATTTATGCATGTCAGTCCGTCTGTATTCTTTTGAACAAAATGCAGGTCGCATTTATTATCCGATTGAGATGAAATTTTCCAAACAATATTTTTTTGGCCTAAGGACGAACCCTATTGAAATTGGTGAGAATCGGATTAAATTTAGATATAGCTCCCATATATATCTTCATCCGATTTCGGGTTAAATGTGCACCAAATGTCCACTATCAGACCAAATTACCTGAATTTTGGCACACCCAACCGAGATCGGCTTAGAAGCAAGTATATCAAATTTGGTTCAGATATAGCTATAGCTCCCATATATATCTTTCATCCGATTTGATCTTTAAGTCCCTCACATTCCTACTATGCACTCCACAACCGTGATATTTGGTACCAGATATCAGATAAAGCCCGAAAGTGGTTGATTTTAACTTTATTAAAATCTGTTCCGATTTGGATATAGCATAGCATAGCATACTCTTCACATTATTCTATCGATTTCAGGTTAATTGTGCACTAAATGGTCAATATCAGCCCAAATCACCTGAATTTTCGTACATAAGACCGAATTCAGTCTAGAAGCTAATACGTCAAATTTGGAGAAACCCGGTTCAGAGATAGCTATAGTTCGTAAAATGCCCGATAGAATTAGATAGATTTTGATTTTGTACCAAATATCTCATAGAGCTATGAAATGCCCTGTATAAACCTTTTTACGAGAGCTCTACTAAATATGCATAGTGGTGTAGGGTATCATATAGTCGGCCCCGCCCGACTTTTGAGCTTTCCTTACTGGTTACAAATGCCAAAATCATGCCCTATCGCCCCCCATTCACCATGCCACATTCTAGCGGTGTTTTTTGCTGGTCATTGATGAAGCAATAAGTCACTCATATCACATGGCCCACAAGGTCTCCCATTCATGGGCTCAATCATGAAAAACAATCAAATCTAAGGAAGACATTTCAAATATTCCGACAAGATTACGTATACGTATGTTAATGCCTCTCTCTCTCTCCCTCTTGTGTGTATGTGTGTGTGTTAAAGTGTTAATGAGTTAGGAAATTAAGTTCATTTGTACTATCGTCTCTTTATTCCCTTTCTCACAACTATCTGCCGCACTATCTACCAAAAAAATGCAAAAAGAAAAAACGTAGAATCGCAGCAGAAAATGAAAAGAACACAATTTACATTTTTGTCATATCGTAGATGGCATCGACCATGGACCAAACGACTCTGAGGATTATAATTAAGGAAATGGCATACCATTTGAAAATGTTCACTCAATTCAATGTTTTGTTCTTTTCTTTGGAACAGGAGCAGCAGGATATGCTGGATGGAAGTATATGAAAAATTCTAATTAAGGCACGTTTGGGGCGATATTTTTTCATTTCTTCCTCTCTGTTAACACTTTACAATATCCTTTTGTGGAAATTCTATAATATTTTTTTTAACATTTTGAGGTTTTGCTTTATTTTTTGGGTATAAATTCAAACAGAAAACAATATTTGAAATTAAACAAAAAAACAGTGTTTTAAAAAATGCAGTCGTAAATATAAGCAGCTGGAAATAAAGATACAAAAAAAAAAATATATATATATATAATTGGAACACATTGTAACATGTTTTTTCTCTTTTTTACACGCTTTTAGTTTCTACAGTGGCCGTGGAAGCGGTGCTGGGTCGTACAGCAACTCTGCCTTGTGACATCGAACCGGAAGCCAAGGATGACAGAGTTTATATGGTCCTGTGGTTTCGTGAAAGTGCTGGTAAACCTCTATACAGGTAAGGTTGATATAAAAATTCTACCAAAAAAGCTTACTTGAAGCTTACATTTGAACGTAAACAGACGTACATTCATACATACATAGGTAGTGTGCACAACAGTTTGTTGCAACATTTTGTTCATATCCACACACTATAAAATTTATTTCCGCATATGAAAATTTTAAACCCACTAGGGAACACTGCTCACCTAAAAGGCAGAAACTTCAACAAAAAACCATTTGCCCAGAGACGTTTGCATGATGGAGAAAAAAGAAAATAGTAGGTAGTCTAAAGAATACAAGAACAGCTGAACGAACCTACAGCAAAACTACAAGTGGCATTTAATTGGATGTGGTTGTCAGTTTCAAATGCCAGCCATTCAGACACTCAGAACTCCACACGAAATGTTGAGCATAATTTCCAGAAGAAATGTACAAGACAAAAAAGGGAAAGCTGACAATGGATTGCGAATGTTAAAAAAAATAAAGTCTGTAATGAAATATTTCTGGTGTAGAACCTGCATATGTTTGTTTCTCTGAAGAAAAAGTCTAATATGTGGACAATTTGTATAGAAGACGTTTAAAATGTCAAAAATCAATTGAGGCCCTTTGAAGTGTTCTCCTTCCAAGAAAAATCTCAAAGAGATCTGTAATAACCAGGCTTAGTTAGGAACAAAAGAAACATCGTCAGAAACACATCAAAAATGGCAAGTAACTGCCCTCTGCACTACAAAAATAATGTCAAGTTACTACCCTCTGCACTACTAATAAGCAAAAAATAATATATTATTGCTATTTAAATTGACAAGTCAAAATAACTTACTCATCATAATACAAACTAATGAGTAAAGTATGTGCTCGTTTTGCTGCGACCATAGGGCTAAAACAAAACCAGTAAGGAAAAGTCATAAGTCGAACGGTGATACCCAACACCACTATCGGTGACACCCTACAACACTAAGCACATTTAGTAGAGCTACCGTAACAAAATAATTTATTTCATGTAGATCATACCACCTATCAACATTTGGCTTTAGAGCATTTATAGCTTGCTATAGAGTGCATGATGTCACTTAGAGGTGGATTATATAAAAAACAAAGTAAAAAAACATTAAGTTCGGTCGGGCCATACTTTTAATGCCCTCCACCTTAGTGTAAAGGAAACATTAGAAGAAATGTGGCAAAAACCATTAAAATGCCGAATATCGGGAGGTACCGTTATATGGGGGCTATACCTAATCGTGGACCTACACATGCAATGTTTCGCCAAAGGGGCTAGAACCCATTATTACCTACAAATACCAATTTTCAGACAAATCCCTGAAAAAATGTGGCAAAAATCATCAAAATACCGAATATCGGGAGGTACCTTTATATGGGGGCTATACCAAAACGTGGACCTATACATGCAATATTTTGCCACACGCACACGGACCCGTTATGACCTACAAATACTAATTTTTAGACAAATCCGTGAAAAAAGGTGGCATAAATCATCAAAATACCGAATATCGGGAGGTACCGTTATATTGGACCTATACCAAAACGTGGACCTATAATTATAATGACTCTCCACGCGAACTGGGACCCATTATTATGTACAACTACCAATTTTCAGAGAAATTTTTGAAAAAATGTGTCAAAAATCATCAAAATACCGAATATTGGGAGCTACCGTTATATGGGGACTATATCAAAACGTGGACCTATACACACAATGTTTCGCCACACGAACTAGGACCAATTATGACCTACAAATACCAATTTTTAGACAAATCAGTAAAAAGATATGGCAAAAAACCATCAAAATACCGAATATCTGGAGGTACCTTTATATGGGAGCTATACCAAAACGTGGACCTATACATGCAATATTTTGCCACACGCACACGGACCCGTTATGACCTACAAATACCAATTTTTAGACAAAAAGGTGGCATAAATCATTAAAATACCGAATATCGGGAGGTACCGTTATATGGGGACTATACCAGAACGTGGACCAATATATCTCATTTTCAATACCAACCATCCTAGATACAATACAAACTGCTCTGCTAAATTTTGGCGCTCTACGTCAAATAATGTGGGCTGTATCGTGATTTCAACAGACAGACGTACATCGTTAAATCGACATAGAATTTTATGCTGATTATGAATATATATACTTTACGGGGTCTTCGACGAATATTTAAGGATGTTACAAACGGAATGACAAAGTTAATATACCCTCCTTTCCAAGGTGGTGGGTATAAAAATATATATCGGAGCCAAGTTGCAAAAAATGGAAACGTAAGTTCCGTAATTCACTCCATTTGGGTTGATATTGGCCATTATTTGCGCAATAAACCTCAAATCAGATTAAGGATATATATGGGAGCTATATCCAAATCTAAGCCGTTCTCGATAAAATTTGGCAAACGTATTTCCGAGCTCTATAAGATATCTGGTACCACAAATCAATGTTGTCGAATGTATATTACGAATATGAGGGACATAAACACCAAATCGTTTGAAACATATGTGTGGGCTATAGCTATATCTGAGCCGATTTTCTCCAAAATTTAAGTACTTGCTTCTAGACTGAATTCGGTCGGATGTACCAAAATTCAGGACTTTTGGACTGATATTGACCATTTAGTGCACAATTAACCCGAAATCGGTTGGAGATATACATGGGACCTGCATCCAAATCTGAACCGATGTTGATAAAATTTGGCAGAGATATTTCTGGGCTCTATAAGATATCTGGTACCAAATATCATTCTTGTTCGCCAAGTCGGATGACACATATATATGGGATCTATAGCTATATCTGAATCGGTTTTCTCCAAATTTTATGTACTTTATGCATATTTTCACCAAATTTTATGTACTTGCTTCTAGACTGTATTCTTTGTAGCAATTTAGGTCATATGGGCTGATATTAGCCATTTGATGCACAATTAACCTGAAATCGGGTGGAGATATGTATGGGAGCTATACTTAAATTTGAACCGATTTTCACCAAATTCAACAGGGTTCGTCCTTGGGGCAAACATATATTGTTTTTTCATCAAATTTCATCTCAATCGGATAATAAATACTACCTGCATTTTGTTCACACGACATGCATAAATCGACTCAGAAAGTGATTCTATGAAGATCTTGAGAAGTAAGTATGGGCCTATCTCGTTCCTCCTCCATGTTACAAACAAATGCACAAAGACATAATACCCTTACAACCATATGGTATAGGGTATATAACACGAAGTTCGTAACAATGAATGACTACATGGTGTGACTATCTACCAATCTGAAGATCACTAGGTCAACACCTCCATCGGTCAAAAAAAATATATAACTCAACAAAAAAGTGTGGTGGAATTAACAATTCACGAAACTGTGAATACCCCACTATTTGGAAGGAATTAACCAATTTTCAAAAAATATCCGTTGAAAAATACTGCTTAAATCATAAAAATTTTATTATATATTTTTTACATTTATTACAGGTACACGTATCTCTACTTAATGTACATTATGTTGTAGGGTATCATCCAATCGGACACCCCCCATTCAATCTTTATTTTCTGGTTTTAATTCTAATCATTCTAGAATTGTTGAGCCAAATGAATGTATTAGCTTTTTAGAAATTCTTCCTACCGGAGACAACTTCAAATTTTACAAATTTGGAAGAATCCTGATTTTTGAAAGGTTTTAGCGGATTTTTCATTATAGCTGATTGAAATTATGTTAGTCTCTTCCACAGGTATACTAGTTTTCCAATAGTTTCTCTTTAAAATGGTTAAACTTGAATTATGGAAATTAAAGAATAAAAAATATTATTTACCGTAGGCGAATTATTTTTTGAACTCATATTCAACGGAATTGTTCGATTTTAAATCCGAAAACATGCTTCTGCCTATATATAGAAGAATTCTTAGGTGCATCCATCTATAGAAGATAACTTTCAGAAGTCCTCTTGAGAGCCTTCATTTTAGTGAAGACCTCTCCAGCTTTTTCCTTGCAAAAGCCTTTTTCAATATATAAATGCGTCTACATTGTCTTCTGTTTTTTTTTTTTTAATTGGTGTTCTTTATATACAAAACATATTTTGACAGTCATGAATGTTGAGGAAAATTTCAAAACCTATTTCGACGGTCATGAGTTGTCGGGAAATTTTCAAAGATATTCCATCTGCGAACAAGACTTTCAAGTCTCCTAGCTATAAAACACCTCTAGTAAATAAAAACGATTTCAAATGAAATCTTATTTTCAAAACTTCTTTCCATTGCATTCTGCTTCATATGCATCATTCATTAACTCAAACTTATGCATCATTCTATCATCCGGGGACTCTAGGCTAATCTAAATTATATAATTTTTTTTTTTTTTGCAAAATGAAATTTTCATTTTAGTTTTACAACAACAACAGCATAACAACATTTCATTGTTACACCTTTTAACTTTTATGTATATTTACACTATACATTACATGTGTTACTCCAAACACAATTCATATTCTTTTTTCTTTCGCTCTCTTTCTTTTTTTAGAGCCGTTTTTGTTTGTGTTTTGTTGGCACTCTTGTCCACATCTATTCATATGTCCATTGGTATATACGTGCGTGAGTGTATATGTTCGCCACACATTGGTCATGTATTCATACGAATGTATATATTTGCATACAGGAGTAGTCCATTACAGTTACAACATGCAGTTGCATGGCCTGGTCCGAAAGTCATGCACTGTGGAACGATAGCAAAAACGAGTTAATTTCCGCTTGGTAAGAAAGCAAATGATTTTAATAAAAAAAAATTTAAAAGTGGAAAGCGAAAACAATCTTATGGTAACTGCGAAAATCCATTTTAATCTCTTTTGAAAAGATCAACAAAAAGTCTGTCCTATTAACGTTTAAATTCTTCCACATTTACATTTCTAATCGAAAATTTGATTCCTAGAGCAACCCCATATCTTTCCTTCAATTTCGTTCCACTGTACATTGATGAAATTTCAAACTTTTAGTGTTGTAGTAGTCG